CTGTTTTCATTCATACACATCTGGACCTGTTCATGTTGGGCACGTGACCAACAACAGTTACTTGGAGAAATTTGGTGCAGCTGGCCCTAGGCATCTGGCCTCCACCCTCAAATGGACAGACACATACATTTCATTTTAAAGATATACGAGTAGATATAAAATACGAAATGTTATTTCTTATTTTCCTTAACTTTGGTCGGGAGGGGGGGGCGGGGCCTGACAGCTGAGTGGACAGCGCTTCATATTCATAGTCCTGAGGTTCCTGGTTCGATCCCCGGTGGAGGCGGAAACAAATGGGCAGAGTTTCTTTCACCCTAATGCGTCTGTTCACCTACCAGTAAATATGTACCTGGGAGTTAGACAGCTGCTACGGGCTGATTCCTGGGGGTGTGTAATAAAAAGGAGACCAGGTCGAGGACCGGGCCGCGGGGACGCTAAGCCCCGAAATCATCTCAAGATAACCATTAGGTTTGATCTGGTTTCGTTAGGTTAGGTTAGGTTAAGTTAGGTAGGTTAGGTTAGGTAAGGTAGGTTAGGTTAGGTAAGGTAGGTTAGGTTAGGTAAGGTAGGTTAGGTAAAGTTAGGTTAGGTTAGGTTAAGGTAGGTTAGGTAAGGTAGGTTAGGTAAGGTAGGTTAGGTAAGGTAGGTTAGGTAAGGTTAGGTTAGGTTAGGTTAGGTTAGGTAAGGTACGTTAGGTTAGGTAGGTAAGGTAGGTTAGGTTAGGTTTGTACAGAGAGAGAATAACGGTTATATGTTAGACCGGATGGAAAGGTAGACACCAGGGTAAATAGACTGCTATTTATTTATAAATAGACTCCATGATAAATACGGAATAGACTCAGACGTAGAGCTGTGTGTACGCACAGACGTAGGGCTGTGTGTACGCACAGACGTAGGGCTGTGTGTACGCACAGACTTAGGGCTGTGTGTACGCACAGACGTAGGGCTGTGTGTACGCACAGACGTAGGGCTGTGTGTACGTACAGACGTAGGGCTGTGTGTACGCGCAGACTTAGGGCTGTGTGTACGTACAGACGTAGGGCTGTGTGTACGCACAGACGTAGGGCTGTGTGTACGTACAGACGTAGGGCTGTGTGTACGCACAGACGTAGGGCTGTGTGTACGCACAGACGTAGGGCTGTGTGTACGCACAGACTTAGGGCTGTGTGTACGTACAGACGTAGGGCTGTGTGTACAAACAGCCGTAGGGCTGTGTGTACGTACAGACGTAGGGCTGTGTGTACGCACAGGCGTAGGGCTGTGTGTACTAACAGACATAGGGCTGTGTGTACGTACAGACGTAGGACTGTGTGTACTAACAGACATAGGGCTGTGTGTACGTACAGACGTAGGTCTGGTGTACAGACGTAGGACTGTGTGTACTAACAGACGTAGGACTGTGTGAACGAACAGACATAGGGCTGTGTGTACGAACAGACGTAGGGCTGTGTGTACGAACAGACGTAGGTCTGTGTGTACGAACAGACGTAGGGCTGTGTGTACGAACAGACGTAGGGCTGTGTGTACGCACAGACGTAGGGCTGTGTATACGAACAGACGTAGGGCTGTGTGTACGAAACTGGCAGAAATGTACACGTCAGGACAGACGAACAGTCGCGTGTATCGTATCTCACACTCTAATAGATTAATAGATTATATAATTACCCAGATTGCGGACCTGACCTCCAAGTGCCGCCGAGGCATAGATTATGAACTATCTCCTGCGTCTGTGATCCTCAGATTACGTCCCGAGTGCTGGCAGGTGATTCAAATAATTCAGATAATTATAGATAATATGCGAGCAATAGAATTTTTCGTTTTTTTTTATTACTGGGTTATCGCCCAACCACTTAGGCTGGACGGTAGAGCGACAGTCTCGCTTCATGCAGATAGGCGTTCAATCCCCCGACCGTCCATAAGTGGTTAGGCACCATTCCTTTCCCTCCGTCCCATCCCAAATCCTTATCCTGACCCCTTCCCTGTGCTATATAGTCGTAATGACTTGGCGCTTTCCCCCTGATAGTTCCGTCACTCCCCTGGGGTTCAGAAGGGATGTAAACAAACAATTACCAGAGGAATAGCTCATCAGTGCATTGAAATCTGGCTCAGCATTGCATATATTTTATCACTGCTGGGGACATGAAGCCTGCGAGTTATCAACGTGTGTCTAATCAAGGGGGCAAGGATGCCACCATGGTCACCCATCCAGTTATGGGCCAGACCCAACGGGGTGTAAACAAATGACGCGCGCATGTCCCGGTGCGTCACAGTGGCTGGAAGGTTCCCAAATCTCAACCCCCTAGTAACTCGAGGTTCGAAACCGTGTCATCTGTGTTGTGTAACTCCCGCTGATTCATTAATCTGATTGACGTCACTCAGAGATAGTAACTGAGTGTGGTATTGTTGGGTTGTTTGTGAGTACCCATCCTATGGGTGGTAGTGGACCCCCCATACCCATCCTGTGGGTGGTAGTGGACCCCATACCCATCCTGTGGGTGGTAGTGGACCCCCACACCCATCCTGTGGGTGGTACTGGACCCCATACCCATCCTATGGATGGTAGTGAACCCCTAACACCCATCCTGTGGGTGGTAGGTGACCCCCATACCCATCCTGTGGGTGGTAGTTGACCCCCAACACCCATCCTGTGGGTGGTAGTGGACCCCACACCCATCCTGTGGGTGGTAGTGGACCCCACACACCCATCCTGTGGGTGGTAGTGGACCCCACACCCATCCTTGTGGGTGGTAGTGGACCCCACACCCATCCTGTGGGTGGTAGTGGACCCCACACCCATCCTGTTGGTGGTAGTGGACCCCACACACCTATCCTGAAGGTAAGATCAATAGGAGGAGTACATAAAGACTCACATATCCAGCTTCTGCTACTAACACACATGATGTACTCACATATGTTTCGAGTACATATGTGATAAGATAGCCCAAGCGTTAAGTACCATTGTTGCCCACACTTAACGAGCCGTAGTACAGTCGTTATCACAGTGGCACTCTCAACACACTATAAACACCAGCAAAGATGAGATAGTTGTTAACAAGGCAGTTGGTAGCACGATATCAAGGCCACACCCCTCAGCCCACTACTGACAGGTGTGGATGATAGCCACGCCCCCAGCCCACTACTGACAGGTGTGGATGAAAGCCACGCCCCCAGCCCACTACTGACAGGTGTGGATGAAAGCCACGCCCCCAGCCCACTACTGACAGGTGTGGATGAAAGCCACGCCCCCAGCCCACTACTGACAGGTGTGGATGAAAGCCACGCCCCCAGCCCACTACTGACAGATGTGGATGAAGGCCACGCCCCCAGCCCACTACTGACAGGTGTGGATGAAAGCCACGCCCCCAGCCCACTACTGATAGGTGTGGATGAAAGCCACGCCCCCAGCCCACTACTGACAGGTGTGGATGAAAGCCACGCCCCCAGCCCACTACTGACAGGTGTGGATGAAAGCCACGCCCCCAGCCCACTACTGACAGGTGTGTATAAAGGCCACGCCCCTCAGCTCACTACTGACAGGTGTGGATGAAAGCCACGCCCCCAGCCCACTACTGACAGGTGTGGATGAAGGCCACGCCCCCAGCCCACTACTGACAGGTGTGGATGAAAGCCACGCCCCCAGCCCACTACTAACAGGTGTGGATGAAGGCCACGCCCCCAGCCCACTACTGACAGGTGTGGATGAAGGCCACGCCCCCAGCCCACTACTGATAGGTGTGGATGAAAGCCACGCCCCCAGCCCACCACTGACAGGTGTGGATCAAGGCCACGCCCCCCAGCCCACTACTGACAGGTGTGGATCAAGGCCACACCCCTCAGCCCACCACTGACAGGTGTGGATCAAGGCCACGCCCCCAGCCCACCACTGACAGGTGTGGGTCAAGGCCACGCCCCCCAGCCCATACTGACAGGTGTGGATGAAGGCCACGCCCCTCAGCCTACTACTGACAGGTGTGGATGGAGGCCACGCCCCTCAGCCCACTACTGACAGGTGTGGATCAAGGCCATGCCCCCAACCCACCACTGACAGGTGTGGATCAAGGCCACGCCCCCAGCCCACCACTGACAGGTGTGGGTCAAGGCCACGCCCCCCAGCCCATACTGACAGGTGTGGATCAAGGCCACGCCCCTCAGCCTACTACTGACAGGTGTGGATGGAGGCCACGCCCCTCAGCCCACTACTGACAGGTGTGGATCAAGGCCATGCCCCCAACCCACTACTGACAGGTGTGGATCAAGGCCACGCCCACCACTGACAGGTGTGGATCAAGGCCACGCCCCCCACTGACAGGTGTGGACCATAGCAGCAGCACCACAACCCTGCTCAAGTACCACCATAAGTGTCCACGTTTACCCTACTAGCACAAGTTTATTTACGAGTCCATCTGACCGTGTAAGTTTTAATGATATTTGGAGTTTAATGTCTTAAGGTCGTCATGCTGTTGACATATACCAGGGAGCCGCTCACCCATGACGTGCCTCTGTTGACGCACACACACACACACACACACACACACACACACACACACACACACACACACACACACACACACACACACACACATTGCTGAGTCATTGCTGTAAACAACCGATAGCTAGAAAGGCGGGATCCAAGAGTCAATGCTCGATCCTGCAAGCACATATAGGTGAGTATATATAGGTGAGTACACACACACACACACACACACACACACACACACACACACACACACGCACTCTCACACACACACACACACACACACACACACACACACACACACACACACACACACACACGGAGTGTCACCCCTGACGTTTACTCTACATTCTCCTGCCACTTTTTATCAGTTGCTGTACTTGGAGATGATAGGTCACCTGTGTCTTGTGCTCTACCTTCATGCCCTTACTACCAGTGACCTTTATGTATACATATATGTATACGTATGTATATATGTATGTCTAAACTGTTCTTCCACAGCCCTGGCCTGGCTACACTGTCCTACCTGGCCTGAGAAGGGTGAAGCTGTTCTCGTTCAGGAAGAAATAGTGTCTGTGGGTCTCCGCCCTGTAGGTGACCGGCCCTTCCTCGGCCATCACTCTCCTGGTCCGTGTTGTTGGCACTCTCCTGGCCCCTGGGGGTGGTTGTTGGCACTCTCCTGGTACCCTGGAGCGGTTGTTGGCACTCTCCTGGTCCCTGGTGTGGTTGTTGGCGCTCTCCTGGTACCCTGGAGTGGTTGTTGGCACTCTCCTGGTACCCTGGGGTGGTTGTTGGCACTCTCCTGGTACCTGGGGTGGTTGTTGGCACTCTCCTGGTCCCTGGAGTGGTTGTTGGCACTCTCCTGGTCCCTGGAGTGGTTGTTGGCACTCTCCTGGTCCCTGGGGATGGTTGTTGGCACTCTCCTGGCCCCTGGGGATGGTTGTTGACACTCTCCTGGTCCCTGGTGTGGTTGTTGGCACTCTCCTAATCCCTGGTGTGGTTGTTGGCACTCTCCTGGTCCCTGGGGGTGGTTGTTGGCCCTCTCCTGGCCCCTGGGGGTGGTTGTTGGCACTCTTCTGGCCCCTGGAGTGGTTGTTGGCACTCTCCTGGTCCCTGGAGGGGTTGTTGGCACTCTCCTGGTCCCTGGAGGGGTTGTTGGCACTCTCCTGGTCCCTGGAGGGGTTGTTGGCACTCTCCTGGTTCCTGGAGGGGTTGTTGGCACTCTCCTGGTTCCTGGGGTGGTTGTTGGCACTCTCCTGGTCCCTGGAGTGGTTATTGGCACTCTCCTGGTCCCTGGAACGATTGTTGGCACTCTCCTGGTCCCTGGAGCGGTTGTTGGCACTCTCCTGGTCCCTGGGGGTGGTTGTTGGCACTCTCCTGGTCCCTGGGGTGGTTGTTGGCACTCTCCTGGTCCCTGGAGGGGTTGTTGGCACTCTCCTGGTCCCTGGGGTGGTTGTTGGCACTCTTCTGGTCCCTGGAGCGGTTTTTGGCACTCTCCTGGCCCCTGTGGGTGGTTGTTGGCACTCTCCTGGTCCCTGGAGCGGTTGTTGTCACTCTCCTGGTCCCTGGAGCGGTTGTTGGCACTCTCCTGGTCCCTGGAGCGGTTGTTGGCACTCTCCTGGTCCCTGGAGCGGTTGTTGGCACTCTCCTGGTCCCTGGAGCGGTTGTTGGCACTCTCCTGGTCCCTGGAGGGGTTGTTGGCACTCTCCTGGTCCCTGGGGTGGTTGTTGGCACTCTCCTGGTCCCTGGAGCGGTTGTTGGCACTCTCCTGGCCCCTGGGGCGGTTGTTGGCACTCTCCTGGCCCCTGGGGCGGTTGTTGGCACTCTCCTGGCCCCTGGAGTGGTTGTTGGCACTCCTGGTCCCTGGGGTGGTTGTTGGCACTCTCCTGGTCCCTGGAGCGGTTGTTGTCACTCTCCTGGTCCCTGGAGCGGTTGTTGGCACTCTCCTGGTCCCTGGAGGGGTTGTTGGCACTCTCCTGGTCCCTGGGGTGGTTGTTGGCACTCTCCTGGTCCCTGGAGCGGTTGTTGGCACTCTCCTGGTCCCTGTGGGTGGTTATTGGCACTCTCCTGGTCCCTGGAGCGGTTGTTGTCACTCCCTTGGTCCCTGGAGCGGTTGCTGGCACTCTCCTGGTCCCTGGAGCGGTTGTTGGCACTCTCCTGGTCCCTGGAGTGGTTGTTGGCACTCTCCTGGTCCCTGGAGCGGTTGTTGGCACTCTCCTGGTCCCTGGAGCGGTTGTTGGCACTCTCCTGGTCCCTGGAGCGGTTGTTGGCACTCTCCTGGCCCCTGGAGCGGTTGTTGGCACTCTCCTGGGCCCTGGAGCGGTTGTTGGCACTCACCTACCCAACACTTTGCTTAAACGCGAGCACCTACAGGATGATTAGTGTAAAACACACAACATTTCAGTGTTGTTTCTGGCCTCTGGTGATAGTGGGAGGCAGGTGTGTGGGAGAGAGCGAGGGAGGCCGAGCTGACGCCACGCTGGGAGAAGGTGAACTGTCTCGTCTCCCACACCTGAGTGCTGGCCTCAGGTGTGTACTCTGGAGTACCAGTCACTCTGACGACAACACATCCCTCCCCCACCACCCCCTTCTGACCCCCACCCCACTCACTCTATGACCCCCCACCCCCACCCCCTCGTTGTTGACAAGCCCATTTCCTCCAAATTCACGGTTAGGCTGCGAATAATTATTTTATACTTCGTCTTTATCCTCTCTTCCGTGGACCGTATCCCATATTTCGCATATCATATACGACATACTATAAATCACATTCCATATACCACAGACTATATACCACATGCAACATACCATATGCCAAATATCATACACCTATATTTGTAAAAAACAGAACATATCTTCAGCTGATAGTATATATATATATATATATATATATATATATATATATATATATATATATATATATATATATATATATATATATATATATATATGGGGAGTGGGAAGAATGGAAGGTTGTGAGTTGTTATAAACTTGGCTTTTGTGTGTGTGTATGATTTGAAATATACTAGACAAGTATAGAGTATCTACTTGTTTAGTATGAATACTGCGTTACATTTAGCAACTTGAGTATGCATAGGCTATAGGCTCAACTATTTATACACTCAAGTACTAGTTTACATTATAATTTAAATCATTATATTAGTCAGAAAGTGTTTATAATTGATGCTTAAACAATGTATCATTTAGCTACGATTTTATTTGACTAATTATGAACCCAAACTAAGTAATCAGTGGGGGATTAATCATTTAATGATTACATTTCGTATTATCTATTCGTTCCGTCAGTCTGGAATTAGAATTTTGACTGCCACGTTGTTGTTAAATTCATAAAGCCTCAGTTTCTTTGATAAATTTTTAATCGTTTTAACAAACTAGTAAACTGTTGGTGGGTAATAATGATGTCCATTCCTCATATTTATGGGAGGATCTGGTAATCTGTCCCCCATCTCACATACCATATACCACACACAACATACCAAGTACCTATACCATATACTACATACATAATACCATATACCACAAACTTACATAAAAAAAAATGAGTACACTCACATAATCCCATTTATCGTGGCTTGTTAATGGGAGTGAGGGTAGTACGCTGATTACGGATTGATTATATCGAGTGCGTTACGCACATGCGCAGAGATGAAACCTGTTCTCAGTGCGCAGCGGAACGAGTTAGTATGAAAAAACATGTGTTTTTTTGGCTGTTAGGACCTGTCAACCTCCCAGGGGTAGTAAGATCTCCACATTCTTTTACTGTTGAAAAATATAGAAATTATATTTTAGTCCTTAACATTGTATAGGACTAAATTAGGCTCTAGTTGTATATACACCGAGAAGCTGGGTACACCTCTTAGTTTATGTCATAACTAATAGGCACAGTTGCCTAACAAGCCGAATTGTCTTGAAAAATTTATATTTTCAAACTTTCCCTTTTTTGGGGGGGAATAATAATTATTTGGTGTAACATTTTTTCGTTAAGTCATACTAAGAGAAATTTGATCAAACCTAAACTACCTAGCCTTCCTAATGTAATATAGCCTATCGTATCCTATCCTAACCTGCTTAACCAAATCTATCCTAGCATACCTATCCTAACTTACATATCCGAATCTATCTAACCAATCCTATCCTAACATATCGTAACTTAACCTTTTGTAACATAATCTAATCTAACATAACTAAATCAGTAACTCACTTCCTTAATATAATATTTATATTATTAAGAAAACACTTTGTAACTAAATATTTGAAGATAACGAAAATCGTTCTGCCTGATAAGTAAATCGGACTTTATCGATTTTATTATTATTTTTATTATTATTATTATTATTATTATTATTATTATTATTATTATTATTATTGAGAAAATCAATGGGGCTGGACGGTAGAGCGACGGTCTGGCTTCATGCAGGTCGCGTTCAATCCCCGACCGTCCAAGTGGTTGGGCACCATTCCTTCCCCACCGTCCTATCCCAAATCCTAATCCTGACCCTTTCCCAGTGCTATATATAGTCGTAATGGCTTGGCACTTTCCCCTGATAATTCCCTTCGTCTCCTAAAGTCTGGGGGCTGTGAGGGGGATGCGAACCCGCGACCAAGGTGTTGCCAACCACATACTGTGCCACCTCTGACTATCATTGCCAAGGCCGGCCATGCCTCGGTCGCGGGTTCGTGTCGCCTCACAGCTCTAGTAGATTATCTCTTTGTTATATATACATAATAGCCAGACACACATACAACAGAATTATTAATGATGATAACAAGTGTCCATTTCATGTGGTTTTCATCTCATGTTAACCTCCGCATGCAGGAGGTGATGAGTTACCTCCGCATGCAGGAGGTGATGAGTTACCTCCGCATGCAGGAGGTGATGAGTTGCCTCCGCATGCAGGAGGTGATGAGTTACCTCCGCATGCAGGAGGTGATGAGTTACCTCCGCATGCAGGAGGTGATGAGTTACCTCCGAATGCAGGAGGTGATGAGTTACCTCCGCATGCAGGAGGTGATGAGTTACCTCCGCATGCAGGAGGTGATGAGTTACCTCCGCATGCAGGAGGTGATGAGTTACCTCCGCATGCAGGAGGTGATGAGTTACCTCCGAATGCAGGAGGTGATGAGTTACCTCCGCATGCAGGAGGTGATGAGTTACCTCCGCATGCAGGAGGTGATGAGTTACCTCCGAATGCAGGAGGTGATGAGTTACCTCCGCATGCAGGAGGTGATGAGTTACCTCCGCATGCAGGAGGTGATGAGTTACCTCCGCATGCAGGAGGTGATGAGTTACCTCCGCATGCAGGAGGTGATGAGTTACCTCCGCATGCAGGAGGTGATGAGTTACCTCCGAATGCAGAAGGAGATGAGTTACCTCCGCATGCAGGAGGTGATGAGTTACCTCCGAATGCAGGAGGTGATGAGTTACCTCCGCATGCAGGAGGTGATGAGTTACCTCCGCATGCAGGAGGTGATGAGTTACCTCCGAATGCAGGAGGTGATGAGTTACCTCCGCATGCAGGAGGTGATGAGTTACCTCCGAATGCAGGAGGTGATGAGTTACCTCCGAATGCAGGAGGTGATGAGTTACCTCCGCATGCAGGAGGTGATGAGTTACCTCCGCATGCAGGTGATGAGTTACCTCCGAATGCAGGAGGTGATGAGTTACCTCCGCATGCAGGTGATGAGTTACCTCCGAATGCAGGTGATGAGTTACCTCAGCATGCAGGAGGTGATGAGTTACCTCCGAATGCAGGAGGTGATGAGTTACCTCCGCATGCAGGAGGTGATGAGTTACCTCCGCATGCAGGAGGTGATGAGTTACCTCCGAATGCAGGAGGTGATGAGTTACCTACGCATGCAGGAGGTGATGAGTTACCTCCGAATGCAGGAGGTGATGAGTTACCTCCGCATGCAGGAGGTGATGAGTTACCTCCGCATGCAGGAGGTGATGAGTTACCTCCGCATGCAGGAGGTGATGAGTTACCTCCGAATGCAGGAGGTGATGAGTTACCTCCGCATGCAGGAGGTGATGAGTTACCTCCTAATGCAGGAGGTGATGAGTTACCTCCGCATGCAGGAGGTGATGAGTTACCTCCGCATGCAGGAGGTGATGAGTTACCTCCGAATGCAGGAGGTGATGAGTTACCTCCGCATGCAGGAGGTGATGAGTTACCTCCGAATGCAGGAGGTGATGAGTTACCTCCGAATGCAGGAGGTGATGAGTTACCTCCGAATGCAGGAGGTGATGAGTTACCTCCGAATGCAGGAGGTGATGAGTTACCTCCGAATGCAGGAGGTGATGAGTTACCTCCGCATGCAGGAGGTGATGAGTTACCTCCGCATGCAGGAGGTGATGAGTTACCTCCGAATGCAGGAGGTGATGAGTTACCTCCGCATGCAGGAGGTGATGAGTTACCTCCTAATGCAGGAGGTGATGAGTTACCTCCGCATGCAGGAGGTGATGAGTTACCTCCGCATGCAGGAGGTGATGAGTTACCTCCGAATGCAGGAGGTGATGAGTTACCTCCGCATGCAGGAGGTGATGAGTTACCTCCGAATGCAGGAGGTGATGAGTTACCTCCGAATGCAGGAGGTGATGAGTTACCTCCGAATGCAGGAGGTGATGAGTTACCTCCGAATGCAGGAGGTGATGAGTTACCTCCGAATGCAGGAGCTGATGAGTTACCTCCGAATGCATCAGGTGATGAGTTACCTCCGAATGCAGGAGGTGATGAGTTACCTCCGAATGCAGGAGCTGATGAGTTACCTCCGAATGCAGGAGGTGATGAGTTACCTCCGAATGCAGGAGCTGATGAGTTACCTCCGAATACAGGAGGTGATGAGTTACCTCCGAATGCAGGAGGTGATGACTTACCTCCGAATGCAGGAGGTGATGAGTTTGCCCAAGTGTATCCATTGGGCAAACACAGCGGTCTCCGGGTTTGGGGTCCCTGGGTCCTCTTTTACCAACTTCGAGGTTAACTCCGGAGCGGGAGCCCGTAGGGGCAGTTCGTTGTTGCCGTCAACCTCGTTCTGACAGTTCCTGCGACAGCGCTGGAACCAATCGTATTGGCACTTGCCTTTCCATTGGAGACTTTCGGGGCCGTGGAGAGGAAGGACCTGTTGCATGGGTAACAGCTTCTCCGTATCAATCTACCCTGACTTAGCGCCCTGGAGAGGCCACTCCAGACTGACAACCAGAGCGCAACTCCATAGTCTCCTGAGACTGATGGATGCCTACTACTACGCCTTCGAAAAGAGTTAATTGCCTATAAGCAGCCTGAGATCAATAATACACCAAGATCTTCAACAAAACTTTGTTTTAATGAACAAATCCACAATTCTCTCTCTCGGGATGCTCTCGGACGCAGGTTCGAATCCTCGTCACGGTCCTTATGGATTTGTTCATTTGATGCATCATGCTATTGTGATTTCTGTGTGTAGTGTATTGTAGTGTAAAACTTTGTTTTATTTAATTTTATTTATTCAGGAGTTGTTACATTCTCTTACAGCCACAAGCACGTATAGCGTCTCGAGCAGGTCCTTAATCTTAATTTTCCCCGAAATACGACCCGCCAAATCGTTTAAGAACCAGGTACCTATTCACTGCTGGGTGAACAGAGGTGTAAAGTTAAGGATTGGCACCTAGTCAATCCTCCCCGGCCAGGATACGAACCCAGGTTAAAACGCTCGTGAAGCGCGGGGCGAGTGTCTCACCACTGTGCCACGGGGACTGTGCATGAAGATCTGAGGCAAAGTGAAATCTGCCACCAGTAATTCCATCTATCATCATACTATCATGCAAGAAGAGCCACATATCTATGGATCTTCCAATAAAATCAGCAGACTCCTTGTAGATGGCCCCAAGCACTTGGGCTGGACGGTAGAGCGACGATCTCGCTTCATGCAGGTCGGCGTTTAATCCCCGACCGTCCACAAGTGGTTGGGGACCATTCAACCCCCCGTCCCATCCCAAATCTTTATCCTGACCCCTTCCCAGTGCTATATAGTCGTAATGGCTTGGTGCTTACCCCTGATATTTCCTTCCTTCCTTCTAGATGTTACTACTGCTCGGCTTAGACTCTGCTATAAACATCTCTGGGAGTTCACATCACCTGCTGATGTAGACCTCACCAAATGTAAACTGTATCTAGGAAATTAATTTTGAAATAATATTGTCACATGTGTTCAAAAAAAAAGTATAAGTATTTCATTCAAAATGATGTATTAACATAAATTTTAGGCCGTTATCTCCAGTTTGCTAACAGTAGGTAATCCTCTATATACATAATATTATGTATTATATATATATATATATATATATATATATATATATATATATATATATATATATATATATATATATATATATATATATATATATATATAATAACCGGTGACTAGAGAGTACATGCCCTTCCCACCCCCCTTCCGTGCACTGGAAAAGGGGGGGGGGGGAGTGCATGATAGGCAAATTTGAAATTATATGTAATTGGGTGAACAAACAAACTCTCACTCTTTGTATTAGGGCGTCTCGAGGTCACAGTGATTTTTTTATATAAACTGTGAAGATACTGTTGATTTACTTATGTTAACAAATTATGTAACTAACTCGTGAGTGCTGTAACTTAACTAATGGAATTTTTTGGGTTAAGTTCCTGAGTCAACCTATACCGTTGATAGGTTAAGTAATAATTGTAAATAAGAAGCAATAAGATGCTTATCTTAACATACTAAGAAGGTTAGGTGAGGTCGGTGTTTTCTATGAAGCTTTTCAAGTTAAACTAAAATATTCACAATCAATTTGTATGTCACATATGCACTCATTAAATAAGCCAATATTGACTATAAGCAAGTGCGAGAACGGGTTGTATTTTGTGCCTTAGTGATCATTCCAGTGCCGCTCACAGGATTAGTATGGGGTCCGCTGCCGCTCACAGGATTAGTATGGGGGCGCACTACCGCTCACAGGATTAGTATGGGGGTCCACTACCGCTCACAGGATCGTATGGGACCCGCTGCCGCTCATAGGATTAGTATGGGGTACACTACCGCTCACAGGATTAGTATGGGATCCACTACCGCTCACAGGATTAGTATGGGATCCACTACCGCTCACAGGATTAGTATGGGGTCTAGTACCGCTCACAGGATTAGTATGAGGTCCACTACCGCTCACAGGATTAGTATGGGGTCCACTACCGCTCACAGGATTAGTATGAGGTCCACTACCGCTCACAGGATTAGTATGGGGTCCACTACCGCTCACAGGATTAGTATGGAGTCCACTACCGCTCACAGGATTAGTATGAGGTCCACTACCGCTCACAGGATTAGTATGGGGTCCACTACCGCTCACAGGATTAGTATGAGGTCCACTACCGCTCACAGGATTAGTATGGGGTCCACTACCGCTCACAGGATTAGTATGGGGTCCACTTTTTCCTCATAGGATGGATATAAGGGTAGACTTTTGCTCATAGGAAGAATACGGGTGTATAACAAATTAATTAAACTTTAAAACTCATCTCTGTCAGGTGCCGAGTTTCCTATTTTTTCGGCGCAATTTTGGTTCCTCGGTTCCTATCCTTCTTTATTCTGCTTCATTCTCCCGACTTTTTCTCCGTTGATGTTGCTGCGGCTGT